TATTTTCCCTCTCTGGTGTGTTGAATGCCGGTGCAGTGTGTGTGTATATGGTCCATATGACGTGCAGGCACGTAGAGCCATAGGCGCATCTCTCACTTCAATTCGAACGAGGATGAGAGCATGATTAACGATGGCAAATGGCTCAATAGTTCGGTGCTTACTGATGGGCCAAGAGAAAGGCAAAGCGAACGGCAGAGATTGAAAGAGACGGGAATCCTTGATTTGCTAGATAGCAACAACGGCAGCAATGCAATAACCACCGACTGCCTGATACCAAAACACACTTTATATTTCGATTCATATGTAAATTTATTTTATCACTCATTGCATATGCATGGACAAACTGAAATAAAATAATAAAATCGAAAATAGGTATTTGCCTCTGCACTTTCTACTTCGCAGTTTGAAAAGAGTGTTTGATCATTGTCAACATCGTCATCAGTATCATCGTCATCGTCATCGTCGCATTCATGCACTCTCGAAATCGGTTAAATCGTAACTTTGGCTGACACTTTTCTCGCATTTCACCATCAAATGGAGAAGAAATTGAATTTTTCACATTCCAACACCGCATACCAAATCCACTGCGGGAAAATATTCGCTTCTCCTATGGCCTTTGAATTGATTTCACTGTTCATAATAAAACGCCCGAAAAAGGCGATTATTCTGCAATCAAATCAATAGGTTTGTACGATAGGTTTTGTTGATTTTGTGCCAAAAATTCGAGGGAAAACGAAAAAGCAATCCGAGTAATTTGAAAGATGTAATAATTTTGCATATCATTTTTCGTTATTTGGTAATTGTTCGATCTACTAAAGCTGAAGCCAATTAAAACCGAGACTTTCAAACCTCATCGTTTACTAAAAAAAAAACCGTTGAAACAACTCTCATTAGAATAGCGGTATTATTTATTGGAAACATTCTTGAAGCCATCCAAAGTGACTGACGAACTTACAATTATCTCACATTTCTCACTCTGTGATGCATTTAACGAGACCACGCCAATCAATGGATTATTTCCAGAACTGTGACGATTAATGTTGAATAGTATTTACGAAAAAAAGTCACTGCTCAGCAATTGTCTTATCCCCTGTTCATTCAAGATGGTAATCACTTATTAATTTGCGTTGGACCCAGTTCATGTTGACCATTGTGGGAAAATGGGAGGAAAATGATTTAAAAAAAATTCGAATGGATAGACCAGATAAACCAATTCAATAATCATATATGTTTTCAAGGGCCAAAGTGATTCGTAACCATTCATCGGAATGTTATTCAAGAAAAAACAAGATGTGAGGGTTTACATGATTCAAGTTAGTCTGTTTGTTGTAGCGAAATTGATTGAATGATGGCGAAAAAATAGAGTGCAGGTGGGCTGCTTGTTTGTTCGCTGTTTTCATTCTGTCGGCGAAATTGGATGTGTTTTTAAACAACTTTTTAATAAATTTCATCTCCCTTGAAATCTCCCACTTTGTCGGTTCTGTTCACTTTTTATCTTTTGATTTTCGGGAACTTTTCTTTTAGTCAACGAAAATCTTTTTTACTCTCCATTTCAAGTTTCTTTCATATGTCTGATGCCTGCTCTTTTATGGCTATCATACGCGATATCATCATCAAGTTATCAAATGTAACCACTCGCTTACAACTCTTAAACTCTCAAACTCATATGATGGGTATCCCTTCCCGCCGCATGCACTACAGAATTCGCTTACCATCCAATTGAATGTGTTTCAGAAATTCATTTCGGCTTCTTAAAAAATGTCGTTGACCTTAAAAAATGTTGCATCGTTGCCGTTTGCCTGAAAAACTATTACCGGCAGAGTTATAAAGTGACTCGCCTTCATTATATTCTCGTCTCGTTCCGTCATTTTGTGGTTCTGAATTCAAATTTTACAAATAAAGTCGAAAGAAATTGGGGATCGTTAACGGGGCGAATGGCGAATAGCGAAACTGAGTCTATATCGAAGTCTAAACTTAGATGTGGTATTTAAGTCGATTTCAAATGTGACTGCACACCAGACACTGAATCAAATTTCTTCCGCAATTTTTTTTTCGTTTTTTTTCTTTCAACAATGTACTAGATCCACACTATTTTGTTGGAACCAGACAAACTTCTTAGTTTTATTGAAAAATGTAATAACCGACTGCCGAAAATAGGCTGTTTCAAAGAGAACAAAAACGGATTAAAATGTACACACATGGTTTTGTTTCGATGGAGACGGTGTTGGAATGTACGGTTTGCTATTCGAATAAATGGAAATGTTAAAATTTTAAAAGTACCAAAGACATTCACTTCCAATACCATATTGATCCAGTCAAAAAAGTAATTATACTATCACTCACGTAAAAAGAGAATCGCACAATAGTTCAAATGTCTCGTGCTTCAGTTTCATGCAGCTTTTTTCCCATTTCCACTCTGACACCAAAACTGATTGCAAAGCGATACTCCAATGCAAAAATCGTAGGGAAAACGAGAAGAGGATAAGAAATTTGAGTGGAAATGAGTAGAAATCGTATAAATTGTAACTGGGCTTTAGCACAGAAACAGTTGCAATTGCATAAAAGTCGCTATACATTTTCGGGTTCGGTAACGATTATAGACATCTAAGAGCCATCAAGTGTAGCAGTGAGTTGTTATAGAATGTGAATCTACATAAAATGAAAATTAGGATGGCCCGTGATATTCCTGTGAAACTGAGCATGAAAATCACAACAGTCTCACATAACAAGCTTTTGTTTGAACGACCACCACCACCACCGCCGCCAAAATCTCAATATACACAGAGGCACAGAAATAAAATATCTAATGCAAGAGAGAGAGAGAGAGAGCGAGAGAGAGAGAGAGAGTGTGAAATTGCAGGCAAAAAACAATGCATACCAGTGAAAGTGGCTCGCATAAAAACACCGACAAGGGCACAAACGAGGAATGAACGAACAAGCGAACGAGCGAGAGGGAGAGAAAATAAAAAAAGATTGAGCGAAAGAAAAATCGAGGAAAAATAGCGAAAACAACAAGCGATACACATTCAAAAAGCCAATGTGCGTTCGTTCGCAAAACTTCCAAAGTGAAAGACAATTTAAAATTCAAACAATTTATATAAAATGAAATGATTCTTTCACAACGAACAACTTTATATGAGATACTATTTTCTTTTGTCAGTTTTGTTTAGTTGTCGGTTCTCACTCTGTCGCGGCATTTGCTCTCCCCATTTCTCTCCCCCTTGCCCCTTCAGCTCCGTTCTCTTTTCGCCTTCGTTTTTTGATCACTTTATTTTTTTTATTTATTTGTTTGCTTTTTTCATCCTCTTTTGCTTCCGCACATCACATTCCTTTCTGCAATTCGCCGTGGAACACACATACAACACACAAAGTGTGCGAATAAAGACACACAGCCGTTTACCGTCTCTTTTTATTGTGTTGCGTTTTGTTTCTGTGTGCAGACTACTTTTTTTAAAATTCGATGTGTTTCTCTCCATTTGCCCCTTCTTTTTCTTTTTCTCTTTCTCTCGTGCTGTTGTATTTTGTTTTTCTTGGGCATTTGTTGTTTTAGTTTGTGTTGTGTTTGTATTGCACCATCTTTGCCAACATAACGAGAAAATCGCTCTCATACGAAGCAACAACAGCAGCAGCAGTTCAGCGAACAGCGCGAACAGCACGAACAAAACTAAAACAAAATATAAATCAAATACATCCAAACGCAGAACGACGCCAAAGAATAACAACGACAACCGTAATGCACTCACTCTGAATTTGAATGAATTTTTCGTTTGTGGAAATGGTTTGTGAGTAATATCTAGGCGTCTTTTGTCCAATGAGGCAGGCAGGCGGCGTAGTGAACAACAGAGCATCACGCAATGCACCATCAAACGGTGAGTTTAAAGGCAAAATATATTAATAATCTATAAAATTCACGAAAATAAACATTCCCACCACTTTTTCACTGTCTTTCTTTCCCATTATTTCCCTCTCTCGTTCACTCCCTTGGCCAATTTCCGCTTTCAATCGTACGGGACGGAAGAGCAAAACATTTGAAATCACAGACAGAATGAAGAGATGAAATGTGGCGGTAAAAGAAAAAAAACACACACACACAACGACAAGGACAACGAAGTAACGGGAAGAATGACGATGCAAGAATCTTTATGAATCTTCATTATACTTAAACAGATACAACTCGCACTATCGCACAGATAAATGTCACGCGTAAGCGGTTTTAATTTCAACTTTTTGATATTTGATTAAAGATGCGCGCTTACCTCCTCGCTCAAAGGGATTCGTATCTCATCTTGTTCATTCGTTCCGTTATGCTCCAACTGCAGGGAGAGAGAGAGAGAGAGAGAGAGAGAGAGAGAGAGAGAGAGAGAAGAGAACACACAAAACTGTTCATTCTCTCTGTCGCTGTCTCTGTCAATCCCACTAACTCTCTGTTTCTTATTCCGATAAGTGCAATGGCATTGCACGAAAAATTTTGTTCATTTTTAGTTGGGCTAATTGAAAGAGGAGACTGTAGATGTGGATGCGGGCAACGATGATGAATTCAGTTTGATACTGTGTGTTAAGTTTGTCGAAAAGTTTTTCTTTCTTCGATTTCATTTGCGTGTTTACTTTGTGAAAGTTTTTCCTCCTTCAAGTCCAATGTAATTTTATGCAATTAGGAGATATATATATATATATGTATATACACAATTTGACGTAAATTAAAGTAAGCGATGGGGCGATGCGTTGAGCGCACCCGCGCGCGTCACGGTAACTTGTCGAAAAGAATGTGGTGTAAAATGTGACACATTGCGAATGCCATTCGGTGCAAGTGAAAAAAATTTGTTTCCAAAATAATGCATCAAAATTCTAGCGAATATCATGGCCACGCCACATGAAACCATATGGTCGACTGAAATGGAACGCAGTCAAATAATAATCCCTGATTGTCTGTGCCATTCGTCGCATTCATTGAAAATGCGACAATTCAATGTGATAAAGCTGACCAAATTAACTTTGCTAGATGCAAGTGTGATCACGAACTCATTGATTTATTGCACACATGAATTACAATTTTTTTTCTTTGTCGTCAGTTATTCTTATGAAAAGCACAAAAAATCTTGTTCATGACGACTATTTATTTTACTAGGACAAAACATATGTTTTTTTCTCTTTGGATTACAAAAGCACACACACACACACCAGTGAATGTGTATGAACTCGCTTGTGCTGAAACGAATCACTTTTTCTTAGTAGGATACCGTCGCATACCAAAGCATTCGATATATTGGAACGTATGCATCCTTCTCTTTTCTCGTCACAGCAAAATCCACGCGATAATCACCCGTTGGCGTAAAAGATGGCAACGTATTTGTATCCATATAGAAATCCTTCAAGTAATATTTGCCCTGAGATGTAAGATGCCACTTTTTAGATTTAATTTTCATTTCAAAGATGATTAAATGATTCAAGTATTCACCTTTTTCACTGGGCAATTGAACATCATGTGACCGAATGTTTCCAAATTTCTCAACAATGTTTTCAAAAAGGGCTCCCGATCGGAGTTCTTGAAGAAATCACACAAACTTAATCGGCCCGTTTTTATCAAAGCATGATATTCCAATTGTGAAACTCGTCTCGAGATGATATTGTTTATCTGAAAATTGCGTTAGAATGAAAATGAATTTGAATCTCAAGTCATTTGACTCAGTTGCAACGTCTTTTTTTTTCTCGCCACACTCACATATAACTCATCTGGTATTTCGGTGAATAATTCAGCATCAAGATCAACAGTTGGGCGGCCATTTGTATTATTTTTCAAATCGACTTTCATACTCATCAAATTTTTGTTAATCTCATAGTCGACTTTTATAAAAGTCACCAGCTAAAATGACAATTAACACAAATTTAACGGATTTGTTGGCTCCTTTTTTGTTAATATTTATCGCAACTATTCTTTGAATTTAAATCTTTTCCGTAGTGAAATGAATATTTAAATAAAAATCGTACCTTTTCGTGTTTGGTTGGGATTTCTGTTTTGCATTCAATCACTGTAATCAATTGTAAAATGCAAACAACAAACGCAACACCGATAAATTGATTCATTTTGAAAAATAAAACGAAATATTTCCTACGATACGTTGTATAAAATAATATTATGTTGATGAATCTCGGAAGACAAGCCGATTCTTCCGCAAACGTTGACAGTATCGTTGTGAATGACCAGAATTGCCTCTAATAGTCGGCCATTTATTCAAGCGCGTGCAAGAGAGTGGACAATCTTCACCCTTCGGTCATTCGATCGGAGGTTGGTTGTTCAGTTTCATAATTATTTTCATTAAAATGTTTTTTGCGCACTATTGTTTTTGGCTTGTGTGGCCGGTGCTGTGCCGCTGTTATTATCGTTTTGATGCTTCAATATAATCAATACAGCGAGTATGCATATCCATTTGTCGTATTCCCACCGTTCGTTGTTTAAATCATTTAAATTTACGCTACGTTGATTTTTTAGCAATTACGAATGAAGATAAAAAGCAGCAACAAGAGCCAAAATATACTCTTTTTTTTCATTTGATACATCCAATTAATTCTGATGAATTTGATTAAAATGTTTTTTGAAGTGTTCCCGAACCGATTTTTTTTCGTTCATGTAAACGGTGTTGTGGCACTTTATGTTGGGAAAATTGACACACAGAGAAAAAAAAAGAGAATTGGCTCTAGTTTGGATGAAACACCAAAAACTGAGAACGCGGTTGCATTTTAATTAATCGCAACACAACAAATTGCGCATGGGTATGTGTGTGTGTGTGTGTGTGTGTGTGTGTGTGTATGGCAGACACATGTGACAGTCATGGCGTAATTATTGACGGTCGACTCGCTCATTCACCCGTTCTAACCTTTTGACCGCGCTCTGTCTCTTGACTTGATCCCCATTTAATTCATCACATATTTATTTCGCACATTCTTATCGATGAAAAATGCACATAAATTACCACCGGAAATACCATCCCTTTTTCCGGATCATTTAGAGAACATTTGTATGTTTTTTTTTTCTCTCTCTGATGATCAAAAATGGAGCCAGACAAGGTGCCAATTCATGGCACATTTTTGTAATAGATCTTTTTTGTGTCATTAATTTTTTGATGATGATTTTCAATATTCTCTCTTATATTGTAATTACTGCAAGATAACACATGTTGTTCTGTGATCCTTCGTTTCGTACTCGAGTAGTTTTGCAGCGAGTTGCTTGTTTCACGCTGGAGATATGGTGTATTCGGTAGCCGAAACAGTGTATACAATCAAACACACCGAATATTTCCAATGCTCGCGTTTCATTTGTATTTGTTGTCGTCTGTGTCAATCGTTGCCACTGTGCATGTTCATACGATCGTCGTTGTTGTTTAAGTGAGAAAGAGAATGGGAGTAAAAGAGAGATACGTATGCATCACATTGGGCATATATAATTTATCAATAGAAATATTTTTTTCTTCGATCTTTCGTCTAAAAAATTTTTTCTCCATTTGCCAATTCATGAATTTAATTTTGGTGAAAAAAGAATTTTTCTTCCATAGCTCATTTCGTGAATAAAATATTTTTTACATGAACAAATGAACCTATATCGGTTTGAAAAACAGCATCGAATATTTCCAATGCTCGCGTTTCATTTGTATTGGTTGTCGTCTGTGTCAATCGTTGCTACTGTGCATGTCCATACGATCGTCGTTGTTGTTTAAGTGAGAAAGAGAGAGAGAGAGAGAGAGAGACTAAGCGGTGCTACAGATAGTCGCTCGTATTGTACAGTGTGAATAGACAGTCGGTCGACGAAATTTTTCACTTTGACTGATTCTTATAATTCGCAAGGCGACGAATTTACAAATTTAAGTATATTTTGATTTCGAAACGCTATACTATTGGGGCCAACCAGTTACGGATGATTGCTCAGTCAATCTGAAGAGCCGGTTAATAATGCGACGAACTCCGTGTAGTTTGTGTGCTGGCCGGGCACTTCGGTGCTGAATATGTACCGCTTGTTCATGCCGTGTCATGGCAGGTTCATGGTACGTAACACACGTTGTGAATTTTTTTTTGATACCTTATATGGATGTTCAAAATGCTACTACTTTAAATCAGAGCGTAAAATAAGTGCGGTATATTTGCTCATTTTGGGCAGTTCTAAAGAACGTGTGAAGGCTTTATACCATTTGTGCTTTTTGCAATAATATGGAGCCGCCATGATTATTTACCAATCAATAGTACTGAAGTACAGTGTATTTGAGTACGTAACTTCTCCACTACTGCTTGAAAGCACGATGGTATAAAAATCTGCAAGAACTTACGCCTCGTTCTTTGGTTTTGGGCAGTTCAAAAACACCTCTTTCAAAAATGTGTCGCATTATAACGACATAAATTATAATCATTTCCAACATTATCACTCCATCTTAACCTTGTTCAGAGGTTTTTCATCTGACATTCGATTCGTGCAGTCATATTTCATGACTATAATATTTTCCTTGAATTTTTTTTTGGGCAGTTCTCAATTTTTCTCATTTTACGCTCTGCTTTAAATGTTTATTTTCTGTATTCAAATTAAATGAAAACCATTACGGTGTAATTCTGTTGACATTTGTCTAGGTGTAAAACGGAATTCGTGTCAAAGATGAGATGCGCATTCTATTCTGATTTATGCAACATAGTCACACCTCAATGGAAGTCAACAAAATTGATTCAAGTGTATTTCCAGCCACGAATTCCATCAAAATCATCAAATATGCTCACAACCTATCAAAATGACGACTTGTCAATATTTGCTGTGTTTTCTTGTGTTTTTTTCTGGGTCACCGTTCATGAACTCGAAGCAATTGGTCGATATTCAAATGACCAACAGTTATTCCACTAACGTATCATCCGGATGTGATCAAACAACGAAGACCGTGCTGCATCTGAATAGATGAGTCAACAAATTATTGTCATTTTCGAGACGAGAACAATAAACTAACATGTCGACAATTTGAAATGATTGAACAAGGGGATTGTTTTTTAACCGTGTATTATAGACATTATTTACCCTAGTTTTGTACTTGTTGGTCCTTCAAGATGACCTCATGAACCTCAGCAACATTTTGTTTTCATTCAAATGTATTATGTATGTATACCGTGCACATTATATCTAAGAATCGAATCTCACGTTCAAAAGTGTTATGATTGTACCGAAAAATGATTTTAATGCAAGAGTAAACAACAGTAATTCCGATGTTTCATGTTGACTCTTGAAAAAAGAAAAGTCATCAATCTAAAAACATGCTGAATCGAATAGATGAAAGTGAATTTTAAATCAAGGGCATCGTTGTTGTTTATGATAAGTGCTTAGCCAAAGTCATTCGGTGCAAACAGAGTTCATTATTTACTGATAGCGAATGACAAATGGTTTTCAAATTAGAAATAGCTTCAAAGTTCGTTCGAAATGGCATCTTCAATATGAAAACCGACAGAAAAAAATATGGATCCAAAGAACGTTAATTCAAAATGAAAATCAGTGACCATATCATAGTTGCCAATAATTTCACCATAACTGTTTCCATTCTCTAGACTCAACGTCACGGAGAGACGTGAATTTGAAATCGGCTGAAGTTGTCTGAGCGGTAAACAGTTTAGAGTTGATTACGACGGCATAAATAACTGGAGCATTTCGATTCATAATAACGAAATCAACGTATACAATTCCTGCTATGTATGTACGGAAGCCGTGTAACATGATGTCGAGCAAACGCGCTTTCGATGCGAATTGTGTTGCATAAAAGGGTGAATTATTATGTATGGCACGAGCATTATAATAAACGTTATTATTATCATTATTGGAAAATGCGTTTCGTTTTAGCTGATTCAGAACGTCAACAGACACATGGAGATGAGAAGAAAAAAAAACAGGCGGGCGGGCGTACGAGCGTGAGAGCGAGTAAACATTGGATGAAGAAAATTTATGGGGCTTTCGCTGATGAATGCATAGCAGGCACATAGTTGATGACGATTTTATCTACCTGTATCTAAAATTAATATGCCGATAAATCATATTTACGAGGTAGTAATTTGTTAAACGCACGCCACACACTCGTTCGCTCATTCGCTTGCTCCCTCGGTTATGCTGACTAATTAATTTTGGAATTTGTTGTATTCGAAACGCTTGATTCGGCACCGATATATGTATACAATATACATACATGTAATAGTCGCTTGTTTATTTCTAATGAAACACAATCGAACGGCATCCAAACGTATGACACCTTTTAAATGTCGATTACTGATGAAAAACTACAGAATTTTGATCCGTTTTCAAGTATTTTTATTCATATAAAATTCCGAATAAAACGCACATCTTTACAATTCTAGTTAAAACGATTTATGGCACGATCACATTAAAACACTCAACATTTAGCGTTTCTTCTTCTTCTTCTTCTTCTTCTTAATCTATTTTGGAAATGTCCATAAACCGAACACAAGTTTTCCATTCGATCGTTTGTCTGATTTGGACTTATTTAGCAGAGTGTGTTATGAGCTGATGTCAGCAGCACTAACTGACATCAGCTGCTGACGAGTATGCGTTGCGTTATTGTAACGCATCCACAGTACAAAATTCATATTGCCCTCTAGATTTGCCAACTCAAATTTGAGGATCAGCTTTTTACTTGGCAAATCTAGAGGGCAATATGAATTTTGTACTGTGGATGCGTTACAATAACGCAACGCATACGTCAGTTAGTGCTGCTAACATCAGCTCATAACACGCTCTGTTATTTAGTTACAATTCTAACTAATTATTTGATGTTTTCAGACTATTTGCAATATTTATTTGCAATACTTTTTTTCTATCCAATTGATTGTTTAAGTGAGTGTAATAAACATTATTCCACATCGATGAATTCGAATCACTAATTTAATCCGTCGTCAGCTGCTGGATATCCCAAAAAATTTAGAAACCACCTACAGATGATACAAATTGTTGTTTGAGGAAATTTTTGAATTAAAATGTTCTTTTTTATGCGAGGAAAAACAAAAGAATTGAGTATTGTTTAGAGAGAAAAAAAAACGAGTTGTTTTTAAGACACAAAACGGTAAAGAATGTACTTTTGGGATAGAATCAAACAAACACAGCAAATTCAAAAGATGGAAACACCAGCATGCAAATTAGATAAATACGGTCAAAACGGACTATTTAAAAAAAAATAAACTTACATCTAGATTTTTCAAGTCTAAAGGTAATAGATTATTACCTGTTATTTAATGATTACTTTGGTAGCAACCATCATTTCGTGCTTCTACTGTGATTAGATACGAAACAAAAAAAACGTTACTTCAATCGAAACAAAGACACACAAATGGTTTCACAATTTGAAAATCATGAAATTTTCAATTAGAGTTTGAAATTTTAACATTCTCACACCAACGCGATTTGTACGCAACTAATCAGTCTATTCTAGTATTTTTTTTTTCTTTCGTCTACATACAAAACGTGCGAGTAGCGTGGGTTAAAATTATTTTTACTCATACTCAAATACAAGGATCGGCGACCTGAAATCGCTCTGACTCTAAATTATCAAGTTATTTACAAACGGTCAAGTGATACAAAACATACACAAAATGCAAAGATATAGTCATATTTTTCAGGGGCACCACCAAAAGGTATACATACTTTAGCGCTTTCTTTCCGAATATTTTGTAGAATTGTCAAAATGATTAAATTCAGTTAAATTCTAAATTAAATTAAAATTTACTTTCCCTCATTGGACAAGTTAGGATTGAATCCAAAAGGAGAGTTGCTTTTAATTCTACAAATGGTAACTTCTTAAGCTCTACGAGCTAGAATCGGTATTTATTGTCAGTTCTGTCCAAGATCTAGAATTTTTTTTTTTTTTTGGAAAGGTAACGCCAAAGTTTATTCGGAAAAGATTTTTGAAAAAAAAAAAACACACGCAGGCTATTAGAGCCGTAATATACAGGACAGTACACATGTTCAAAATGTCAACTAATCGTTACACAACAGCATGCGAAGTAGTATTGAAAAATGAGCTAATAAACTCCTCGCCAAGCATTGTAATGCTGAAATTTTTGCCATTCAAGTACCTTGCGATGCCAACGCTGGGCGCATAACAACCTGTCATTCCGGCATTTTCATATTTTGTATAGCCCGGTCGGCATGTGCAATGAGCGCCACGTTTATCATTTCGTTTAAGAATTTTCAAGGGTTCAAGCCAAAGACCTTCGGCAGCACACGGTCCTTTGGTGTACAGTTTATAGCATCCGCCATTAATTTCAACCATTCCAGGTGTCGAATGGCATGGATTTTTCTCGACAATATCTTCGGGTTGGCATTTTTGATCAAGTGATTTGATGATGCCCGTACAACCACAAACACCATTATAGGAAATACCATCAATTGATGGCCGAACGGTGAAATCGAATACAACCACTTGATTGAAGTCACATGGACCTTGATTACCAATCTTATAGCAAGTCTTTTCGTCGGGGAAGTAGAGCTGCCCTTTTCTACATGGATTTCGGATACATGTCGTTGAATTGAGTAGGAATTCCCCATTTGCACACGGCCCACGCGTGTACAATCGGTAACACTGGCCATCTGACCAACTGGCGTAACCCTCTTTGCACTGGCACATCGCATACTGATTCTGAATACTATTTTCCGGAATGGAAAACAAGTGGCCGGCCGGACAAGGACCAGTTGTACCTAAAATGCATACATTTTTCCATTTAAAATTCATCAGAAAATAAAGAAGAAACCGATTCCATACCTAGTTCATAGCATTGATCGGTATCTTCATGATAATTTGGCAGCTTCACGTGACAACCACACTTTCCTCCCGGTAAAAAGACTTTGCCTGGTTCTTCGCACGGACCAACGGTAAAATGTTCGTAACACGTTCCAAGCGGTTTATAGTAATATTGCGCCAGTTCGTTCTCATTCTCGCACTAGAAATGCCAATAATTTATAAAAAATTAGTTTCTATAAATAAATGGTGTTTAATTTCTTGATAAAATGAGCAATTTCCTATGGCTCATTCAATCGGTGAAAATCAAATTTGCCTGAGCTAACCTTGCATTCGGCAAGTCGATTTTTTCCCATAACAAAGAGTTTCCCTTTCGGACACGGTCCTCTCGTGTGTAATGTGTAACATTTGGAATCTTGTGGCCAGTGAACCATTCCATTGCGGCATTCCGGTGGTGTTTTGCAAAAACCCTTTCGCTTCTTTGGTCTGAAATCGACAACCATCACCGTTATTACATCGTTTAGTATTTAATTGGAATTTAAATTTATATAACAAGTGCAAATATTTTGTGTGATGAATAGCATACATGATCGCTGCATTGGACGGCTCATTGATTGGAGCAAGATATTGACCAATATCACAAGGGCCTTGCTCATACAGTTTGTAGCAAGTGGTTGATTCGTGATGTTGCGCTGTGCTGGGTGGACAGCGACACTCGGCAATTGCACCATGTGAAGAGCGTGAGCCGCTTCCAGTGCCTGGTGTTAGTTCCATTGTGTCTGGACATGGGTAACCGAGCTGTGAAGAGAACAAACAACATTTGAATCTTGAAAATATCGATAGAATTGTCCAACGTTCATACTCAGGAAGAGATGAAACATAAACAAAATATTGCATCAATAAATGTTTATTGTGTATTAATTACGGTATAAATTTTGAAGCATTGTTTGAGTGGTGCCCAATAGAGAAGTTGCCATCCTCCCGGTTTGTTGGCGCATGGATTTCGGCTCGGATCGCTCCATGGTGGCGGTTCGATAGCAGCGTCACCGACAAAAATCAACGCAAAAATATACATCCATTGAAACAAACCATTCATCACAGCAAACTGAATCTGAAATTTTCAGAGGAAAAAAAAAATCGAATTGTAAATGCTTACTGTAAATCAATTCTTTGCCATTGGTTTTTTGCTTGAATGACTGTGTGCATAACTGTGTGGCATCAAGAATGTGCGGCTCGGAAATTCTCTTGTCGTGAACGCGCGCGTCGAAAAATGTGAAAAGTCATTTAATTACCATGGAATTAATGCAATTTATTATGCGTGCGCGCGGCTCGTCAACTGCAAATTCAATTGCAAATCATTTTCATTTTGCAAATAAATTAGCGTAATTGACATGGCTCAGATTGACTTTGGACTGACTTGGCAAGCAGTGGTTTGGTGTGGTGTGCAAATGCGTCTATCTCTCTCTCTCTCTCTCTCTCGCGCGCGCGCTCTTTCCGTGAATGTGTGTGACGTGGAATGTATGAATTTCTGGTGCGGAGCGCGGGCTCAACACACTCACTCGATGCATCCCCATAATTGTTTGCACAATAGTTTTACAATGTTAGACACGTCGAATTGGCTGCTTATTTGTAGCAATCACACGTAGTACATACACATACCCATACTCATGTACACAACTGATCTCATTAAAATTCTAAACCTCAAATGGAAAATGACATAATTTTGACCGTGATTTGTGCTTGATTCCATTGTGCCGATTGTTGTTTTGTGCGACACTACGGTGTGACTATATGGACTGAATGCCGATAGTTGAATGAGTGAGTGAGTATGTATGGAGAGAGAGAGAGAGAGAGAGAGAGAGACAGAGAGACTAAAAACCGATTTTATATTGCATTACACGAATTTTTATTATTTTTCGCTTCGTTTGCTTTTGGTTCACTCAGTTAGTTGTTTACACAATCTCTCATGTGTATGCCACCATATTGCGGGTTTCATATCGTTGTTTTTTCCACTATTGTTGTTATTGTTAAGCATTCGTTTATTTGTTTGTTTCGCCTTGCTTTGTTTTTGCTGTTTAATTATTATTAATTCGAATGAATTGAACGAAAGAAAAAATCGATATATTCTCGCCTCAATTCATATTCAATGTGAAAATAAATGTTATATATATATATATCGTTTTCAATTTTTAATTTCGTTTCAAGTTTTGATGAGTTTGTTTTTTCTCGTTGCCATTAACCGATAAACATGTACAAATGCAGTTAAAGATGCGTACATATTCTATCAAGCGCTTGATCGAGCGATGTTGACTTGATCAAAGTGTTTGAAATGGAAATGTTGTATCAAGAAACATGGTTCTTGGTTTTGCATGGTGCGTAATTGCGACTCAAGAAAACGGTTTTGTCCCAAGCGATCTGCTTGAAATGAATGGAGATCGATTAGAAACTGAAAGGCATCGTTTTTCTGCTAAATGTCAATCAAGAACTGTCGCGTTCTTTTTATTCCATATTCTTGGTCACTGTCACTGTTTGCTACAGGTTATTACTGTTCGGTGAATGGAGAATATATCCAACGCGCAACCGGCATTGCAGCCGGTTGTTAACCTTTCCATTCAAGGATATACGTGTTAATTAGAATCTATTCAAAGTGTTTTCAACGCGTTCAATTCATTTCCTCCGTGTCATTTCCATTACAACGTACATTCATCTGATTGAAAACGTACACACTCGCTCGCGATGCCCACAAGACATAAATGTGCGTGAATGCGGGCAAAAAAACAATCTGATTATTGAATTCTAGACGATTCATACAAAATGAGAGAACACAATAGACTTTTGCTCTTGAGCACGCACCGTAGCGCTCTTAAATGTATACGTAACTTACTATGGAGTAAGTCACCACCATGGCTAATAAATGGAAATAAATTTTTATTTTCGAATTTATGGAATGAAAAAAATTAAATAGAAATTGATTGAAATTGAATTACAAACGGAATTGAATGTGTGTCTGTGTGTGAAACGTACGGGTGAGAAACACGTCGACTGAACCCGCTTGCTCAACGTTTCGAGGTGTTAATTAATGATTTGTTCCAAGCATTATACTCGAGCTATTATTCAACCTTATCTACTTCTTTCTATGTCTTTCTTTTCTCGGTCTCGGCACATATTGAAATGTATTCATTGCGGTTGGTTGTGTTTTTTATGCGTCAATTGAGTTCTGTGTTAAGTGAAATTAAAGCATGAAAACAGCACCGCTTTGCGATCGCACCCATTTGGCGTAAAACTAGTTGCCTTTGCATTAATTGGTTGATTTTGAAATTGTTCACAAACCATAAATCTCTGACCGTCGTCGTCGTCGTCGCTGGCCGCCTCGTGCTTCGTTGATATAATTATATATTTTGGGTGTGAAATAATTCAAATCTTGTGAAAAAAAAGAAAAAAATATTGTTGAAATCGATTTTGGGTTTGTTCGAATTCAGAAAACGACTCATCAACATTAAATATGTGCAAATTCACTTCCTTCAATCTGTCATCGTTTCTCTGCGCGTGCTTAGAAATTCGTATACAGCTTCCATAGCGATTTCGCTTTTTATTAGATAGACATATTTTCGAACCATACTTTGAATGAACTAAATATTGGTCGGTGTTAACCTTGCTTTGTTTTTGATTCGTTTGGATTTATATTCATTTTTTGTTGTTTGTTTTGAATTGTTTGTTTTTCTTAGACGCCGACACACCACATTCATCACCCGTCAAATTGCAATCGCACATTAATTATCTAATTGCTATTGTTGCCGTTGCCATTGCTCTTGCTTTGCGCTCGCGCGTTTTGCATGCAAAACTTATGATACTCTTAATCATACTCTCGAAAAGAGATTTTTTTTGGACGGGGGCATTTCCGATCTGGTTTTTAGTTTTGTTGTAATAATTTCAATTATGTCATTTGCAACTTTTTTTGTTTTTGTTTCGTTTTCCTAAGGTGGCCTGATTTCGAAGTAAGGCAATGCGTGTTAAAGCAAGAGAAAAAAAAATAGAATGGCAATTGACTTGTAACCCAGTGTTAGTCAAAAGAAGAAAATATTTCGGCCATACATTTTTATGAACCATTCTGTTCTACTTGCTGTATTCTAATGAAAATTGAATATTGCGTTCAACGCAAGTTCTATCCAAATACGCTCCTCAATTACGGAAGCAAAACATAAACAATCCGATCGCTTGCTGGTCTCTTGGAATGTCAACGAAATAATTTACATATTCCAGTCGAACGTTCTGCGTATTTAAATGCAAGACAGAACTGACATCATCGAAATAGCTAGAAATTTCTTTTTATCCATACCATTTAGACGCAATGAATTAAAAAATGAAACGCGTTGAATGAAGAGAAACGAACAATATTTAAAATGAGTAGTAAAAATCAAATAAAATGTGAACTGGTGGAATGAACTGATTGAAGACATTTTCTTTCGCATGATTCATGCTTCAACGCCGTTTGAATGACTGTTTTGATCTGGATCGTCTTTTTTTTCATGAAATTCCAGAGATGGAGTAAATGTATATCAATTCGAGCTCCATGACGCCAGCCCCCCCCCCCCCCCGGTTCCAAAATTTAAATCCGAGAACGGTTTCGTGTTCTACGCAATTTCTGCTGATTACTGCTCGCTCCGCAGGATTTCTGCTCCAACCGGTGACGAGCAGTAATTGCCCGAAGTTTCGGAAAAATCAATTTTTCGCATATTCGAAAGTTTTGCCCCAAAAATTAATTCCAAACTAAATTTTAAACATTTTCATGATCTAAGGGCTGATAATAAAAGATCTCGAGGTCCTCTAATTCCTGCCCGTTCCCCACAATTCCTGCTCCAACCGGTGACGAGCAGTAATTGTCCAAAGTTTCGAAAAAATCCATGAAAATCGATTTTTTGCATATTCGAAGGTTTTGTCCCAAAAATTAATTCCGAAC